CCTTATACAAATGATTTTATCCAAGTGGACTTATCGTCTTGCAGTGAAAATATTAAGACCATTTGGAAAATTAAAATTTTATAAGTGGCCTTATTGTCCCTTCGTGATTTTTCGTTTGGTTGTGGTTTCGTTGTAGACTTATCATTTTTCGGTGCAAATGTCTAGCCTCCACAAATTTGGGGGTCAAAATTGTTTTAATTTATGGAAATCCATGGAATAGCTTCTGCCAGATTATTATTATTATTATTATTTGTTTACATCTATCCGGACTCACATTTAATCACGTTATCAAAACACTTAAAATAATTAATTAATATTGTTTTTTGATTAAGTTTACTACTTTTAATGATTTTACCTTTATACAAGGGGAAAGAACTTGTGGTTAAAAGCGGTTAAATACGGTGAAAAACGGTTAAATGCGGTGAAACACGGTGAAATGTGGTTAAACACGGTTAAAAGCGGTAAAAGGCGGTTAAATACAGTAAATGTACAAATATTATAAAAAAATGAATTTAAGGCAAATGTAAAGAACAAAAACGTTGTAAAAAAATTTTCATTTAAATTTTATCTCATCTTCAAAAGAATTAATGAAACTAGCTCTGTGTTGCTGCGAAAAATCTACATTAAAATTTACATGACACTTGTATAGTTTTAACTCAAAAAATTTAACAATGTCCATTACAACTCTACGTCCATTCTCAATGAAATATAAAGGATTCAGCATTACACCAATGTTGTCACAATGTTCAATTTCTACAAAATCTTGATAGTAAGTTGATTTACTCTTCGACCGAATATGAAGACGTTTAAAGTTTAAAACTTTTCCAAAGAGTATATTTCCTTCATCAAACATTAAAATATTGTCACCTTTTGCAACTTTAGTGGCTATCCAAAAGTCTTCGTTTTGATTTTGTTCTGTACTTATGTGTATCACTCTACGAGGAACAAAACGCTGCCGGATATCGGTGTTGACATGAATTTTGTTATTTTCTAGCATCCAAATTTATTGATCTTTTTTAATGATTTTAGTAAAATTACCCTCTTTAATTGAAATATATCTATCGTCAGATCTTGTACTTAAAAACTCGACATTTTGAAAAGAAAGGGTTTCATCGATCAACTCGGGTTCTTCATTATCCCATTCAGAAATAGTCCATTTGGCAACAAAGTGTGTTCAAGACTGAACATTTTCACATATATTGCGTCTTCTAGAAGATTTTAACAAATCTCTTAAAGAAATTTCTTGATGATAAATTCCAATTTCTCTTGCCTTTTCAATAGCTGCGAAGATTTCACTCTTGATGATAGTATCAATTTCGTTCGAAATGTCATCATTTAAGTCCATTTTCAACTGTCTTGTCACTTCTATCACTCTTTGTCACAACTTACTGTTAAATTAATTACACAAACTCACTTTATTTACTTATATCTAACACTTTTATTTCTGAGATGATCAAATTTTCATATTTAAGAAATGTTTTATTTTTGTCAGTTAAAATCATATTTTTCAAATTAAGAATGACCGTTAATATCTGTATGTTAATTTTTTAAGTTTCTTTAAGGTACCTGTTACATTGAAACTTTTTTTATATTTTATTTTATTTTATTGTATGTTAATGCAGAGGTTTTTATGCCGCTTTAAATAGTTTAAGTACTGTTTAAGGAGGCTTTTCCTCTGTGTGAAAGGAAAGAAAAACGTGAGCAATAAAAAAAAAATAATAATAATAATAATAATAATAATAATCATTGGCTCGTCTGTGTCTCTCTTGACGTTGCTCAATAACGGGAAATGAAATTTCATCCTTTAGCTCGAACATTATTTGTTCACACAGTTCTATTTTGTGTAAACGAGATAGGAACAATTTAGGTGTGCAGTTAATTTGTGTACTTTGAACACCAGTTAAAGAGCGAACATGTCTAAATTCACTTTCACACTGTTGCGAAGAATTCTCAGATATGTTGTGAGCTCGTTTGTCAATAACCAATCGTAAAAGCAATAATAAATTCATTTCGAGTCCTTCGTAGCAGCTTGGAGTGATGAAACTTTCACTTTGCATTCCTTTGTTAATGATATCTGTCTTCCATAGTCTTAAGAAACTAACCATATATACGGCATTAAATAAACGCTCAGAAATCGGTGTATCATGCTCCACAAATGATTTTAAACCACACTGAATCAACTCCAAATATAAAACCGTTCCTTGTGTATTTTCCATAGTCCGAAGGAGATCCAAAACACGTTCTCTTGTAATTTTGTATAAACAGTCATAGTTCATGAAATCAGTTACATCCAAATCACTTTGTACTATGCCATGTAATGCCTTGTCAAATTTTTTATACATTATAATCAAATGATTGAGAGTTATTATAAAATTACCAATACGCATAAGTCTTGAAAATTGATTCATAAGATTTTTCCATCTCTTGGGGATGTGAAACGTGTCTTTTGTGCCGAAATTTTCTGACATAAGATTACCACATAATTCAATCGATCCATACATAGTCACTTCACCAAAATTAATGAGTTTTTTTTGCGCATTAAACATCCGAGCATCCCCATCACTACCATATTCAAGAAAATTAATGCCGTAATTAATAAACTCTTCTTTTATATAGTTTATACGGTTCATGACGTCGATTGCTGTGAATGAGTTGTCTGTGAAATATGCTCAAAGAAGAAACGTCTTTGCACCAGGAATATTTGGCTGTGCAAGCAACACTTGAACATAAGACACCTTGTCATATTTTGTAATCGAATTATAAATATTACTGGCACTGTTAGCTTTGTGAAAATTGACGAACGGCAATCCAGTTAAAGGATCAAATGGTGAATCTAAACCAATGAATGTATTAGTATCTGGACAAAATTCGACTTTACTTGTAATACGTGAGCCATCTTCGAAAACATGTATTTCAAACGAATATTCGTGTGCTGCTAGATACTGGTGCAATTCATCGAATCTTAAAACGTTTCCTTTGGCAATATTCAGCTCATTATTCATATACCTTTTCAGACCACTTAGCTCAGGCAATGGTATTGGCTTGAAGAAAGTTATATAAAGATTTTCCTCCTCTTATGTACAGGTAAGAGGATATCTTCTTGACGGTATCGCTAAATCGGTTGCCCTTGTAATGCAGCTGATTGTTTCTTACATTTTCCAATAAATTTCAATAAAATTGTTTATTGATAAACATCATTAAGGTGTCTTCACTTTACTAAAACTCTTTTAAAAATAACAAATCAGTTACAAATGTTTGATTTACTTTATAGATTTTTTTTTATATAAAGAATACATGGTTGACTATATAATTAACAAATGTGGTTAAACACGGTTAAATGTGGTTAAACACGGTTAAATGCGGTAAAATGTGGTTAAATGTGGTTAAACACGGTTAAACACGGTAAAATGTGGTTAAATGCGGTAAGATTTCACAGTTCTTTCCCCTTGCCTTTATATTGTTTTCTTGAGATCCAAATAATTAGCAAAATAGTGAAAATTGTATAAGAAAAATAGGTACGAAAAATTTATACACGACTTTTCAAATCACCCGATTGTCGAAAATTTCGGGTGAAATAAATCACACGTGATCTCATAACCACCGCCTATAAATACAGGCGGTGATTATAAACACATTATATATAAACATTTTTTCCACCGCTTAGAATTATTAGCGGTGGATTTGAAAATCATTGTTTTTCAAAACCACCGCTAACATTTCCAAGCGGTGTTTATTAAATCCCGTGATTTTCATTTAGCGGGTGATTTGGAAAAGATTGTTCGGTGGTTATGAAGATTTATTTAAGTGATTACGCTAAAAAAATAGCAGTTTGGCTAAAACAAAATAATATTAACCGTGAAGACGGAAGGATTCCTCGCTATCAAACATGCTTTTGGAGTGTTTACACGAATTTTATTAACGGTTATACAGTTAAGTGCCTTGCTGGTCGAATAGGTAAGGCGCATGGCTCAAATTTGGGATGGTAACTCGAAGGTCGTCGGTTCGAATCCAGCTATTTCCAAATTTGATCTTTTTCGGAAGTTTAGATACTTCGACTGCTTAATGTACGAGATCAAGCCATAATTGGGCATTTGGGCAACGTTGGATTAAGGAACGGGTCAGGAACTTGAAGTGTAGCGGGAGAAACGGACCTGAAAAGTATCACGTCACGCCCACAGAAGGTCGAAACGAGAGCCTTAGTTTATTTGAAACCTAGATATGAAGATTAGAAGTTTGATCCTACATAATACTAATTCATATGTATACAAATACAAAAGTGTAAAATGTGAATTATTACCGGACAGTATGTCGTCAATAAATGCAATAAAGTGCAATTAAAATGAAAAAAAAAAAAACGACAACTTAAAATTGGGCCGAATATTATCACCATCGTATTCATACAGTTCTTGATGCTGAAAGACAGCCTATTTACAAATTTATTAAATTTTTAAAGAAAGAATTTACATCGATTTTCATTGATATTGATATATATTTATGTGGAAAGCCCCAGAAACATCGCATGCCTATTTTTGAACGTACGGAAAGTGCTATGAAAACAATCCTAAATAGACGACACAATATTTCACGTGTTGAAACTTTAAAAGCATTAGTAAATGTGAAAAATTGTCTTCGCCCTTAATATTCTTTACTATTTACTTGGTCTATCTCTTCAATCTTACTCTTCCTCCTCCTCCTCTATCTAAAGAAAGAATTTGAGTATTGTTACAATTTTAATATAAAACATGAAAAAAAAATTACACAATTAAATGAATTAATTAATTTTGCTATAAATATTTTCGTAAAAATGAACATTCGTAAATTTGAAAATTCTTAAAAATGCTTTTTCGTTATTTTGCTTTTCGGGAAAATACAAAACACTCTAAATTTAAAATTAATTCCTTCAATAACTTAAAACTGATAATGCCTTTAAAATCATTTTTGGTGTCAAAAAGCTGTCTACGACATTCCATAATTCAATTTCAACCTATTATTTTCATCAGATCACGTCCAATAGTTGAATTAAGCTTGCTCGACTATGCACCGGACATACCATCATCATTACAACCACTGTCTGCTCTATGCAGTGAAGAAACATTAGTAAAACTACCAGAAGAATTTACAAAACTTGATCCGCTGCTTTTCAAGCTTCAAATCATGAATTTAATTCCTTTGGATGGTGAAAAGTCATACAGCGCAAATGATATCAATGAATTCAATAAGTCAATGACAAAGATTCCCAGAAATTCCAAGATATTTGCAAAAATTGAAACTGTAATTGGTGATGTAATGTTTTCTAAGAATATTGAGGCTAAAAATGACAGTAAGGCTGTGATTTTTCGATTGACAGAAACTCATTCGAAATTAGGAATTAGTGAAATTGACGAGACAGTTTATAAGAGGATTTTGGAGCTTTCGTCGGCATTAAATGTAAATAGCAAAGAAGATCCAGTTCAAAATATACAGGATGAAGATTTAGTAACTGAAAAATCTATAATCAAGCCTGTTGAACCTCTCAAATGCTGGAAGCAACTCAAACAAGACATGACATACCCAATAATCGTCAAAGAATACTTCTCGCCTTATTCCTTCTTTGTGATCATCATTAATCAAGAGAATTTGACTCTCAAGAACAATTTGAAAACTATTGAAGAATCACAAGACCACAAGCAATTAATCAGCATTAATATCAATGAATGTTGTCTGTTAAACTCCAATAATCGATATTTACGTGCTGTCATTCTCAATATTTTGGCAGATGGACAAATTCAAGTTCTTCTCGTCGATTACGGGGAAATCCAAAAATGTGACGATAAAAGTCTTTTTGAAATTCCCAAAGAGTTCCTTAATCTCAACTTTCAAGCTGTTCATTGCTCTATGCTTGGTATTTGTCCAAAATTTAACATGAAGTTTTGGCCATCATTGCAACGAACATTAATACAGAAACTCATTTTTAAGTACAATGAAAAGTCATTAAAAATGCTTGTGGTTAAAGACGATCAAAAGCAGCATCAATTTAGTGGAATTGGAGTCCGAAGCTATAATGTGATGCTTTATGACGATGAATCAAAGTCTTATTTGAGTAAATTAGCCGTCAAGGAAGGAATTGCAAGTGAATGCGTCGAGTACAATGGTGAGTTTTATAAATCAACGAGTGAAAATGAAGACAATAAATCGTTGATGGATACATCCATGTGCTGCAACGACATATCTAATGATACTGAGGAAGAGCTTTATATGTCGAAATTATTAGAAATGATAAAAATGTCTCAAAGTGAAAGTGCTGTGGATGAAAATGACTCAGCAGATTCTGGAAATGTTTTATCCAATAACTCAAGAGAATTTGTGTCCAGTATGTCAGCAGAATCCACATATAGCATGTCGAATGAATCGTCAGAGTCTAGAGAAATTTTGTCAACAAATTCTACAGAATCTATGATCAATATCTCATCAACTGGAACTGCATCGTCATCAACATCATTAAAAAGTATTTTTAAATTACCGTATATTGAATGGAGACAGAATGAAATTATGATTTATCTGTTAATATCGGCAAATGACTGCACAGAATATGCATTAAGCATCAATGAGACATCACTGGATGTTTCAATTAAGTATCAAAATAATAAAATTGAGAGAAGTATTATTCAGCTTTATGGATCAGTTAAACCTAAGTTCTGTTCTCATGAATTAGCTGGACTGAAGATTATAGTGAAACTTCCTAAGAAGTTTTGTGGATTAGGTTGGCCACGATTGACAATGTCAAAAGAAAAATCAATTTATATTAAATTTGGTGATAATATGCCCTTTTTGAACTTAGATTCTGACGATTGTCAAGAAAACTACGCAACAAACATTTCTGATGATGAAGAAAACGACAAGGATATCAAGAACTTTGGATTGAATGTCTCGACTGACGATGAAGATTTTTATTAGATCCAGTTTACTTTATTTCTACTTCAGTTTATGTCTTTTATTATGTTTCTAAATATTAATGAGAATTTATCTACATATTAACTGTTTTGAAGTTTTTTATTTCCGAAACCATTAAATCCCATTGCTCGAAATATTTCAGCTTGTTCTGCAGACATCGGCTCTTCTTTGACCTGCTGTTTTTGTTTCACGAAAGTTCTGGGCTTTGTAGTTACTTCTGACTTGTTTCCATTTAATCGACTACGAACTTGAGCTAATGTACTTTTTTCAACGCTCAAATCCTTGCCTATACTTTTCATATGTGCCTTACTAGTCATATGCGATTGATAGCCCAATGAATCATGTTTCAATACATCACAGATGGAGCAGTAAAATTCATTTCTGTAATTTTTTGGATTCACAATGTTCACTTTGCCTACTTTAAGCTTCTCTTTTAGATCCAGATTCAATCTTTTGGTGCCTTTTATTGGATGTTGTTTTTCCTTCTTTCTCTTGACTTCCATTTCTTTTTTGGCCATTTTGTGGATTTTGAAGTTTGTATTCTGCTAATTTGTACTTATCACAAAGTTCTAAAGTGCTCACTTCCAGGATAAAATAATTAAATTAAGAATGAATTAAGAATTACGGGGCCTCGTCACAAAAAAAATTGTACGTGAGTGACGCTTTGTTATTCTTGAATATCTCCTTATTCTTAAAAGTGACAAATTTAAATTACTTTTTTGAAAAGAGAATTAAAATCCCCATCTATTGTTGTACAATTCACTTCATGGATGTTTACAGTTACTCGAAAAAATCACTTTAACTAAGCGTCACTCACGTACAATTTTTGGGAATTTTGCTATATCTTCATTATTGTTTATTGATATATCTTCAAATGTATTTTTTTAGGTCCGAAATTCAATTCTGTTCTTTTTGAGTTTATAAAAAATTTAAAGTTGCTGCATTAACATACCCAAATGGACAAAATTAAGTTAAAATTCTTTTAACGGTTTTAACTTTTTTGAATTTTTTCGGTTGTAATTTGTTTGTTTACAAACAAAATCGAAAATGAAATTTGAAAAGTCACGAAAATATCACTCAATAATGATGTAAAAGCTCTTAAAATAGTTGGAACAGCTAATGCATCATCTACTTTTCGTATTTAAATCATATGATTTGGGATTAATGATTGAATAATTAAGAATTTTGAGAATTTAATTTTTGATGTTTTGTATGATAGTGTTAGTGAAAAATTCAAATTATTTTTTTCCGTTAAGCAAAAATCCTTAAAAAAACGTCGAGGGCCTAGGGTCCATTCACTTATTACGTAACGCTTTTAGGGGGAGGGGGGGTCTAAGATTTTGTTACGGTTCAAACAAGGAAATTTTTTTTTTCATACAAATTTTGTTACGAGGGGGGGGGGGGGGGGTCTAAGAAGTCATTTTTTCGCGTTACGTAATAAGTGAACAGCCCCCTACGAATTACGAGAAAAAAATATTTCAGACTTTTGCTGTCAATTTTGACAGATTTTTCAAATTTTAAAAGTTCGTTAAATTTTTCAAATTATATATTCCCATATTCAGGCAAAGAAAACTAATAATTTTTAAAAATCATCATTCCAATGCATAAACACCCAATATGTTCACCAAAAATGAGTCGAAAACGAGTTTTGAGAGAAAAAAAATTTAATAAAATAAAGACTTTCGCTCTCATCGAAGGCTATAAGCAAAAACAAAAAATATATATGTTCAGTTTGAGACAAATTGACGACAACAGTGAAGGTTTACAGCAACGCTACGAGAGTGAATCATAAAGAAAAAAATTAAAAATCGCATCAAAATGAAAGTGTTGTTTGGTAATGAGACATTTTATTAAATTATTCAATGAACTTGGTGTTTAGACATTAATATCCAACTTTTTCTACATCCAGTATTGCTAGTTTCATCAATGATCACAATAATATTTGCACAAGAAGCACTGCCAAATGTTAACTGTGATGAAATGGTCGCTCAGACAGGAAAACGATATCACGAAGTTTATGTGCCACATGAAAGCAATTGCAACAGTTTTTATCAATGCACAGACCATGGACTTGTTGAATTGAGATGCAATAGAGGACTTGTCTTCTTTCCTTATATAAATGGTAAGCTATAAATGCTTTAAACTTGCTAAATTTAATTTTATTTCGTCAATTTAGGTTGCGTTGAACGAACCAATCATAATTGCATAACATGGAACCAATGGAGATCTATAAAACAGTGAATAAACAGCTATATTCATAAAAAATATTATGTTTTAATAAAAATTGTCTAATGTATTGAAATAAAAATATTTGTAGCTCTCAAGCTAATGTAGGTCATTAGAATTATTTTGATAATGCTTTGTAGATTAATTTATAGCTTTGATAATTCATTAAGAAATGTACGCATTTTTTTTTTAAAGGAACGTGTATTTCGCATGCTTATTTACTTATGTAGCTTTAGTGCATGCTTGAAAACCTTGATAGTAGCGAGAGAGAATGGAAGATCAAGTTCGAAGTCTTAAAGGATTTTGCTGCGCTTTTTGGATTTCTAGCGGTTTTTTTTATTTCAAAAACTATGCTCAAAATTGACTCTACTTCAAATTTTTGAAAACCGTTAAAAATCATTTTTATGAAACTCGATAAAAATCTCATGTTTTGCCTTAATTAAAGATCAAACTGCTTTTAATTGCTGTACAACTACAGAATATTTTGTCAGCAGACAAATCTATGCTAACTTATATTTAAAATGCTTGCATTTCCTTTGATTCGATCAAACCGAAAGCAACTGACTTAGTAGTGAATTGCAAAGTTCAAGAGAAAAAGATTTATTTAATTGAAGAAAAACGCTACAAGTCTGTCTTATCCCACAGCAAATTCTTGTCTCAATTTGAGACATTTAATGTGGCAGTCAGTGACTGAACATATTAAATAAAATGCATTAATGTCTTTTATTTATTGCAATTAAAGTATCATTTCCTTCCACATTTTAAATAACTAGTCATTAAATTCACGCATTTTTTTTCATTTGAGCTATGAATTAAAATGACTAAGTGATCACGAATTTCTCAAATTCAATATATCAGCAAGATCTGAATGGTATAATGAACATGTTTTGTATGCTGAAAAAAAAATATAACAAGAACGAGTCTTTAAATTTGAGTAAAGATTGAACTTTGATATTCTTTCTTCATTAATTTTCTAAATATTTGGTTTTTACAGAAGGGTTCTAGTTTTAATAGAATTGAGTTTAAATAATGTTTCTAAAATATAAAATCGAGCCTTGTTGAAATGTCTTTTATAAGAATTATCATGAACCATACAACACTAAATCAATATCACCAGAATATCCATATTACCACAATTATCTTCATCAATTCAATAAATAAACTTTAACAGAGCAATTTAATTATTTAAAACTCTCTTCATTTAATTGAAAGACTTTAAAGTCAATTTTTAATTAATTATTAGCATTTTACAACATACTTAATGCTTACTTTATTTTTAAATTAAATACATTTACGTTCCAACACCTTAAAAGATAGTAAACATTTATTACTTAATGAATTTAATTGAAGATTTTTAACACCAATCAATTTTGTTCATATTTCAGCTTAATTAATGCAATTTGTTCTGGGAAATCAGTATAAGAGACTAGTTTAGGGCTATGCGACAAGTGAATGACCCCTAAAGCATTCCATCTTATTATTAGGTTATTAATAAGACATTTAACTCGATCTATTGTAAATTGTCAAAAAAGAAATCATGTCCAAAGACAGTTTTTATCATGCGTGATAAATTTGGAACCGACAATTCAAAAGAAAAGGTCGTTAAGTGCATACAAGTGATCAACAAAAAAATGTAAAATATAAAAACGTGAATTTTAACATAAAACGAGTTCACGAGACTTGCACCCACTTTTTTTCACTCTTTCATTTCAATGTCATTCTATCAATTAAATGTGTAATTTTTGCACAACAAAAAAAAAATCTTTGGAGTAGTTTGATTGATTAACTGTGCTCTCAAAAAATATCCATCAATTTGATGACATGTTAAGAGCCAGAAACAGCAAAAAAAAATAAATTTCAAGTTGGTTAATTAATGTTAAAGGTGTTATTATATAGTAAGTATACAGAAAAATATTTTATATATTTATAAGGCGGCTTTTGTTAATTAATTTAAAGCACTTTTGTTCTTTGTATCAAAAGTTCGGTTTTGATTCATTTTAAAGATTAAAGAATTTTTCAGATTTGAATTTTTTTCAAACATTAATGTTTAGGGCCCGTTCACTTATTACGTTACGCAAAAAAACGACTTTTTTCATCCCCCCCTCCCCCCCTTGTTGCAATATGTTACAACTCACCCCCCCCCCCCCCTGAACGTTGATAATTTATTTTAAAAAAAGGTTTTTAACTTTTCTTTAAACTTGAACTTTTTTTAAAAAGACAGACGACATTTAGAACGTTACATACTTCTTGACACCCCCCCCCCCCAATGTTACATTTTTCAAATCCCCCTCCCCCCTAAAATGCGAACGTAATAAGTGAACGGCCCCATAGCTGAAATCCTCACAAATTTTATGATTCTCAAAATATGAATGAAAATTAGTAAGATTTCGAATCACAAGGTAAAAAATTTTCAAACACTTGTATTTGGGCAATTCCACAGATGAGTGGAATTTCAGAAAAAGCAAATTGTAATTCTTTTTCTACTTGTAGATTTGAATTTCAAAAAACCGTTAGATTTTGGAATAATAAAAACTTGAGAAACAAACAAATTCGATTATTCTACATATTTTATAAATCTTGCTCAAAACCATAAACTTATAAATTAACTTGTTTTCGTCTTTATTTAGTTATCTTTTAACACTTTTTTTTCCTAATCTTTCTCACACTCAAAAATCGTAAACAATCACCTTAAATTTTATTGAATTAACTATAACGTATTTTAAAAGTTCAAATTTTACTAAAATTTTGAGGAGACGCTTTTCGTTGCACTATTTCAATACATGTTTTACAAAATTCTATTTTTCTGATTAATAAGTGACTTAACGGCTACAAAGACTTTACAGAATCATAAAGCAATTCAGGTTGTACAGGAAAAAAACATTCAATATTTGTCTAGATATTTAAAAGGTAAAAAAAAACTAATTTTAAAATCAGAATTCCATATTTTGAAATAGTGCAACGCTCGCGAAAAATCAAATATTTGCTTAATTAATGCATATAGAAAGAAGCAGTAACATCCAGAAGATAGAACTCGGCGTTTTACATAAGTATGCACAGTCGTTGGACTGTCTAGATTGCCTAATTAAGAGAAAAATGATCTCAAACACGAAATTTTTGAAAAAATCAATCCGTGGAATTGCCCATTTTAAAGGTTTTCAAAATTCAAATTGTAACAGTTTTCAACAGAATTCAAATCTCAAAAAGCCGTTTAAAGGTTAATTTTAATTTTTTGTAAACTTATTACAACAAAAATAGTTAATTCTCACAATATCATTTTGTTACATATGACCAGAGGTCGAAGCCGACATGAGTTCGCTCCGGTTCGCTAAAAAACCGATTCAAAATTGAATAGAATTTTTTCTGCTGCCACTTGTAAAGTATAACATTCTATACAAATTTACCGGTTATCGAATCGGTTTTTTAGCGAACCGGAGCGAACTCATGTCGGCTTCGACCTCTGCATATGACTATTCTATTTCAAACCACTTAACAGTACCCAACTACCATAACATACTTAAAATTAGTAAATTTCTCTCCAATATTAATTTTTGTTAGTAAATCACTCAAATGACACACTAGTGGATGTTAGCTGATGTCAATTGTTGATGCATGAGGTTGTGGCGAAGTTGATGGAGAAATTTCATCGTCTTTCGGAATCACTTATCCTGTTGATTGTATAAAATAATGATGTTTTGAATAAAAAGAAGAAAAAAACATTTTTTTATTAATTTGCAAATTATTGTAAATTTTCGCATGTATTTTTCCAGAAAAAACAATTGCAATAATTTAAATCCATAATAATCAATATAATTAAAATTATATATTACAAGAAACTTATGACAAAATAAAAACACAGTGCATGATATTGTGTCAATGCGCGTGTGTAATTTGTGTGATGTGTTGTTTGTGTGTAAAATAGCACTTTGTGGTTTTCGAGATAAAAGATTTCAGCATTTTACGATAAAAATAATAAAATGTGAAGCGAGACATAGAAATTAAAATTATTTCAATAATGGTGTGTAGTAAAGAACTTAAAAAATACATTAAACTTATACACTTAAAAGCTTCATAATGTTGCGCATTTAAAATCACTTAAAAATCATAGGAATTTGCTTCTTCATCACCTTTGCGCACTTTAAAGAATATTCTATAAACAGCACCGGCAATTAATCCTCCGATTATTGGTCCAACCCAATAAACCCACAAGTTTGTATAATTTCCCATAATTACTGCTGGTCCAAAGCTTCTTGCTGGATTCATTGATGCTCCAGTGAATTTAATCTGTTGATCATTAATTCAATGTTTTTTAAAAAAAATAAAGTAAATGATTAGATATATCAACTTACGGCTGCAAGATGTCCAGCTGTGATAGAAAGACCGACAGCAAGTGGTACAGATCCCTTAACATCCGATCGACGACCATCACAAACTCCATGAACAACAAATACAAGGATGAAAGTGATGAGTGCCTCAATAAGAACACCTTGACCAGCTGAAAGTGAATCGTGTAATCCAGTAACTCCTAAACCACCAACATATGAGTCTGGTGTTGCTGCCTGTAATTAGAAATGTTGATAAATTAGTGCCATTTTTCATCTCAAACCACAGCATTTATTGTGCGTCATTTGCAGTCATTTGTGGATTGACTTTGAACTTGCAATGAGAATAGATGGGGGTTGGGGTCGTTCAAAAATAACGCCAATTAAAGAATTAGATTCAAGGCTTGGATGAACAAATGTGCTCATACAAAAATAAAACTGATAAAATGAAAATAATACTGTATATCAACACATCATTCATCTTGTCCAAGAGTTACAATCAAATAGAATCAAAGGCTAAGTCTGCATGACTTCTGGTTTATTACTATCTATATTCACCTTCAAACTGCTTCATACTAGTTTTAATTAGAGCTTATGTGACTTTTTTATTACAATTAATAACGTGATCGTCTTCCTTAACAGATTGAATATTTTTCTCATGACAGGTACTAATCATAAAAATTAACTTTCAATTGTTTGAAATTTTCTAGAAATTATCGTTTGTTTATTTCTATCATTTCGAACGAATCAAGCAAGAATTATGATGCTTATTGTACATCAACTTCTGGAAATTTAAATCCCGAAGCAATAAAACAAGCCGGATTATCAGGAAGTGATTGATTTATATCCTCTAATTAAATTTTTTGATAAATTAATCTCAATAAAATGCATAAAAAATTTATTAATTTAATTATTGTCATCAATTATTTCGAAATAAAAGATTATCAAAATGCATCACAATAAAAAATGAGGGAAAATAAAAATTAATTGCGATAATGCACTTATAATATGAGTATCGTGATGTGTTGACTTCTCAAATGAATTAACTTTAGTCGCGAGGAGATTAATATCAGCTTCATGTCATGATATAAAATTGTTAATGTACAATGGGAGTCATAGAGAATGTTCTGTTCTGTGAAAGTTAGACTATTGTGTAAATGATGATAATCATTAAGTAACAGTAGAAGGAAATTACAATAATCATGGAAATTCTTTACAATATTGATCATAGTCACACATATTAGGAAGGAAATAACTCGCTAGCATTCCATTAATATTATTAAAAGCTATCTCGTTGTGCACATCGAATGACGGATGATACATAAATTAAAAATGAAAAATGTAGCTTGAAGGACACAGTAAATTCTGTGCGAGCACAAAGATCCACGCCTTTAGCATATCAATGTAAAAGGAAAAAGAAGAAAGCAAGAAGAGGTGCCGCTCTGATTTATATATGTATTCAAGTTCATGAATCATCCCATTGACATGAATATGAAGCAACTCATAAGCCGTTTTATGTTTGCTTGCTCTTGGAATTTCTTAGAAAATTGACTTTATCAATCAAATTGAAGTTTCAAAGTTAACGGTTTTCCAAAACTCGTATATATTAAACTGAACAAAATGAAACATTCTGAACTGAATTAAAATCTTATTCAGAAACTCAAAATTTGTTCAATTCGTTTCAGTTCAGAACAAAATATTTCATCTTGTTTCAAATTTCAAAATACCGTTAAATTTTAAAACTTTTTTAAATTGACATTCAAGACAATTTCTTAGATTTAAACTAGATAGATTCCACCGTACACAAAAAGCTTATCAGTCAGTCAAAACTAGTGTCATTAATCCATAAAGTCACACGCCAGCTTTAAAAATCGGATACAAATGATGAAGAATCCACTCATGTTAAGGGAACGGCATTATAATAAGCAATAACAACTATAACTATGTGAAAAGATAATGATGAAATGTTGCTCCGTGAAAAGTCAATAAATTGTATCGCGGTTAAAAAAGAACCTGTACTGCAGTATAATAAAACTGGTATTAATAGTGGAATAAAGAAAAGAGAAGAAAAAAAGTCGAAAGACATTCATCTCGTGCATGCATCACGACCTTGAACAAGATGCTTTTTTAGTTTGAGGCCTTTCTGTTATTGAACTTGGCGGGCTTGATCGCTAACAATTCAAGTTTTTTTCTTTCTCACTCCCTTTTTTTTCAATGAACATTACAAGATATATGGAAAGATTTGAGCATGAAGAAGGAAACTTGTAGAACAAGCTCTTAAGCCATGTTACAATTATTGACATCGAACGGGGTAGAAGAGGACATGAAGTAAACGGTTTTATTGCATAATTTCATACCTTAATAATTGCAGCACCGGCAATAGCTCCGATACATTGCGAACAAATGTAAAAGAATCCTTTTAGAATGCTGACATCACCAGTGATCATAAGTCCACATGTTACAGCTGGATTTATGTGACAACCTAATTATAAATAAATTCTTCAGTAAGTTGTGAGCTTTTTCAGTACTTAATTTTAGTGAATTTACCTGATATGTGCCCGAAAGCCTGTTGATAATAAAAAGTTAAAAATCATTAATTTGGTCTTTTAATTATATTATGGTATTTTAAGTGGACTACGATTCATTTGACAGCAATTTACATAAACATGAGTTCCATTTTCACAGAATCTTAATTAAGTGGAATGTGAGGTGTAAGAAAATTCATTGAATCGCTTCCAATTATCTAGAAGTTGTTGGTAACAACTACATTATGTAAGTACTATATGAGGGAACGTTCGTGAATTAGGGAACATCGATCATGCTTTTTTACATCTCCACTTTTGTTACGTAGTTTCTAGCCACACTAAAATTACGTAAACTAAATTGATCCAAAAGAATAAAAGCTTTCTGACTAAACGCAAAATATACCCAAACTATGAACCCCTTACCGTATTTCCTTCATTTAGGAATTTTTCGTGTTTGCTTCTTAAAGATTCAAACAGAAATTCAACAACATCGTCTGTGTACCAAAAAGATTACAGATCATTGCAACTCCCGTGGAATTTTTTAATTTTATTGATATAAAAAATTTCAAATTATGATAAAAGTCTCATTAAAAAAATTTTAATTATATTATTTAAATTCCATCTTCATTACGTGTTTTCCCTCTTCTTATCAGCTTAATCAGTAATATAAACATAAACTCAGAAATCTTAATCCAATTAAAAGTCGGTTGCGGCAAATGAAAACGAATGTGAGTAAAATAATATTGAGATATGAAAAAAAAGTCTTAAACTTGCACTTGAATACATTTAATGATCACTTTTCGATTCAACTTATTGCACGCATGACCAAAGATATCGGCGCGAGTAGATACAAATTTTAATTACAGTCAACAAGCTCCAACCATCAATAAAAATGTGGATCAAAAGGCGATTTTTTTCATTCTTTATGTGCGAATAAATATCGATCTTAATTGCACTACGTAAAGTATGCGTATCTCATGCTGTTGCCTTACAATCAAGTTGCGGCATATTCTTAGTAAAACAGAACAACAACCCAGTAATCAAGCAACTGTTATGCTTAACTGCCGAGACATTATTGACCGTTGTTGATTAAATTGTTAATCAACATAAATTTTGCAACTTTTCCTTGCAGCCCTGTTGTCTGCTGCGTCTTTCAATGGAAGGGTTGTTGACTCTTTGTGATGACAGCATTAAAGTACTGCACTGTTGATGTCATATTGTGTATTTTGTGCAACAGAATTAAATTTCTTTATTCGAATCTTTAACATACTCTAAGAGCGTAGGGATGGCATGATGCAAACCTAGTTTAAAGCTTGTCAGTCTCATGTTCAATCTGTCTTAAATGAATGCAATATCGAATAGCACAATGGGTCCAAAACATAGCTTTGCAAGTATTTACATTAATTCCGAAATTGTTTAAATTCACTACGAAAAAAAAATTGTAGCCAGCATATGGGTTTCAACCACAACTTTACCAAAGCAAACAAAAATTAATCGCATCTGTTTTTGGTATAAACAAATTATAGAAAATTGACATTGCATGCTTCACCGTAAGCTCTTTCAATATTCGACTTATTCGAACTTGAAGGATTCATCGACAGTTGAGCAAGAAGAATAGCTAAGAAATTACATGATTATTTAGCCAAAAACACATTATTGCATTATTTCTTTCCTTCCTTAAAAACTCCCAAAAAATTAATATTGTAAATAAAATTTCGCATTGTCAAATTAATTGGACGCGCTTTAAGATGCTAGCCTGTCAGCATGAGACTTCACAGTTATTAACTTGACCTTCTCATTCTTTAATATTCACATGAACATGCGTTGAAATGAGATAAAGAGATGCAAAAAAGATTTATAAAGATATGAAATGAATTGTTACACAAAAAGAGACCTTTCCTTCATAAATTTTCGCATTTTTTTAATTAAATCGTCATATCAGAAAGTCACGCATCAGCATTTATAAATAATCTTGTTACAAAGTCATTTTTAGTAGTGAAACAACATGCTGAATGAACAGTCATTTATCACTACTAAGAACAATGTAATTACTTATGTATAAAAATTCATTTTATTACTTTACAAAAAGGGGTAAATAGGACATTAATCATAAAAGAAACAGCAACAGCATAATAAAAAAGCTCAATTCAGTTCTTTATAAATTGAGATCACCCTGAAGGCAATTTTTTTACAGCTTCAAGAGAATCGACTAAAATTGCATGAAAAATATTGAATTTAAAGCAAAAAGATAATTAAATCGCATACGACAATGAATGGTAATCATTGAGAAAGGGACTTATTTACTCAGATCTGATCTCTTCATTTCGTTCCATTGTGGATAAATTACAGTCATCAGAGGAATTAATAATTGTTATTTACCGGCAAGCTCCTTTATTGGTGGATTGAGTGAAGAAATTATATAAATTAAATGGATTTGTGTTTAATTTTGAAGACTAAGGTATTATAAAGATTTTATGCTATCAGCCTTTTATGGAATTGAGCTATTATAAAGCAATCTCATCTGAATTCTAAGCATCGATCGTTTCCAATGGAAAGGAAAATCATATTTATAAATCAATGTTCTTCGATAAGATCACTATTTAAGTTACTTTCATCTAGAGTTCGAATGAAGTCAACTAAAATTCGAGAAAGACTTCGAGATTCTTACTCAGCAAAAAGTATTTAGGTTAAAAGACTTAAACTTTAGCACATGATTTTTATAATCTTTAAATTATAAAAATTATTTAATACTGTAAATGATTGTAACCTACAAAAGCCTTGACTTAATTAACCTTTTAACAACTATGATAATGTCTAAGCTTTATATCAACTAAGTATATGGCTCGAGTATAGTTTAAGCCTATTTGCAGTTTCAGGTAGTAAGTAGCACTTCAATTAGTAAGCAATACACTCGAGATGCAGTAAAAACAATTCAGATAGTTAACTCGAAGAAAACAACGATAATATGAGCAAGTAAGTAGTTGTTTGTCAACATTTATTCTAACGTAAAATTGATCTAGGCTTGGTTTCCATAACAACATTTAATTCTATAGATTTACGACCTTTTTCTTATGAAAATCTGAAATAGAAATTAAGAATAGAATTTAATGTTTGAATCTATTTAAATTAAAGCTGAGTTTCGAAATCTATTTTTCCATTCTATAGAATTAAAAAAAGGTGCTATAAACAGCAACCAATTAGAATGGTAACAACACAATATAATATTCAAGAATTTATATGATGTAATAAATAATAATAAAATTAAAAAAAATTTAAATATGACAAAAAATAACATCTTCGACATCTATTGAGTCTTTATAGTAACAAACATTGTGTCTGCTTAAAATAATAGCATTCATTGTTTTTCATAGCTACTTAAATTCCATCGTGATCATACGACATGAAATGTGTGCGTAAATAAAAGATTAATTTTTGTGTCTTTGACGTTTTATTAAATTTATGAGCACATTATTTTGCCATTTTTGCGAATGATTCTATGCTAATTTAAAAAATTGATTCTATGCTAATTGGATTTAGTTCTAAAGTTAAATTTGTTTTTATGGTAGAGATGCAGTAAATCCATCACATAATAACATGACGATGCTGTCATATGCCAAAGAATTTCCGTGACATATTAACAATAATCAAGATAATCTCACAAACACACACAAAAAGAGATATTAAACTTAATGAAAATATAAAAGAAGGTTTGCCATTCCCTCCAATTCTTGTAAGCAAGGCCAAACATGACTCTTTTTTTCGGCATAGAGGTACAGAAGAAGAAAAATTAACTGAGTCATTTGAGTCATTAAGACAATTATGAGAATAATAATGTGCACAAATTGTTTGAAATGAAAGGCGTTAAGTCAAGATACGCGACGAAGATGATGGCAAAGAAATAATGAAAATGAAAGTGTATCGCAAAGTTCATTAGAAGATATTGACACACGAATTTCACGACGATAACCTAGAATTAGGCAACTTAATATGTTATAACTGGTTTGAATGAGAAAGATACAAAAGCTATGAATTCACCATTTACATCAGAACTACGACTTCTACTAGATTCATTATTGCTAATTTCAAAACAGACTCAAAGCCCTCCAATCAACTGAATAAAATATAAAATTATGCAACAAAAGGAGTAGAAAAATGAATATTATGAGAAAAAATAGAAGCTTGCGAAATATTTAATTTACAAAAGATCATAGATCATCATTAAAAGCCACTTCAGTCATTTTCGGTATCTCCAAATCTTGAATGAAAGTAAAACAATGAATCCATTGATCAGCAACAGCAACAAAAGATGGAATAATATAATATAAAATCTTTGCACAAAAAAGAGTAATTTTTCAAATAAATGAGAAATTATTGACTGGGTGCGTGAGCAATTTGAAGTAATTGATTTTTATTCCAAATTCTTCTTCTTCTTCTTATGATTTGCTAATTTGTTGAAGAAATGTATTTACAATTCATTAATGGAACTTTTAGAAATGCTTTTTCTTCGCATTAAATAAAAGTGAGTGGGTATTGTTAAAAGATTTTAATGTGCTAAATTGACTTTTTATGACAACATGCTCGACAATTGATATTAGGCAATCCATTCATAATGGCATTTGAGAAATTGTTCACTTTAGTTATTGATATCAAAGAGCAAAATGAATGAATTGGAATGCAAGGTAGCTTGGTTTTTGAATATTTAGTGGTACATAATACACAGCTATAGACTCGTTGTCAACTTCTTATAGTAATCTTCATAAATGACGTCTTATAATTATAAACTTTCAATAAATTCAATTATTTTAGATCTCTTGTCCACTTTATTAATCCCAGTGACGTCATTTAAGAGCTACCCTTAAGTATAAGTCCTCAATGTTTGACTTGACAGTAAATATTTGGAATTGAATACCTGTTCGTTTGGGTCTGAATTGTGAAAAGTATTGTTTAAAAATGGTCCTGACATCTAAGGTCTCGGTCACTGTATAAACTTATTAAAATTATAATCACAAAGTTCAAATTTAAATCACTCGAACCTCCAATA